ACCTCAGCTTGAAAGTAAGATTTAACTATTCCTAAATATAGTGGGGTTGCATGTCACCCTGTTGATCCAAATTTATACAGCTGAAAACTAGAAAAACAAATAAAAACAAAGCTTTACATCTGTCACACTAATAAAAAAGGATATTTCTCCTGCATCTCAAAAAGGGCATTAATTTTTTATGCATGCATGTATATATAAGTACCTCCAAAGAAAAGTAATACCTAAGGTTTAAAATTAATTTTAAAAAATGAAAAATATTGCTTGAAGCTTTTTAGTTTTAATTTCAAGGTAATAGATTTAATATTTCCAATAAGCAAAATACTTTGCTATATTTCAAACCTAATTTAAATTGACTGGAAGGAGTTTTTTTTTTTTTTTAATTGCTAAAAATTGGTGATTTTAATCATATTTACAATTTTCTCTGCACAACATAATTCTCTTTATATTTTATTTTTCAAAGATTTTAAAAAAAATATTTTTTGAAATTTTATTTAAGGAAGCTTAGCTGATTTAAAGTTTAATAATTCTGATTTGAAAGAACATTAATTTTATTTTAATATATTGCAGAAAAACATTCTATGAGGTATTGACAGCTCTATTTGACAGCCTGATTGGAAAATTTAACTAATTTTTTCTAGGGGGGGGACATATCTGTAAAAATTACTTGAGAAATATAGCATAAGAACCATTTTTTTAAAATTTTTAACTACCCAGTACAGATGTCAATATTTAAAAAATCAGCATCTTTATACTTTTAAAATACTGGGGTTTGATGAACTGTAGTAAACTTTTTCATTTATGATTAGTAAGTATGGTTTTTACTTAATAACAATACCACCTAAGCAAGTACAAATTTATACAGAATTTTAAAAGATTTAAAATTTTATAAGTTGTTCTAATTAAATATTAAAAAAAAATTTTTTAAATTCTTAAGACAATAGCGTGCTTAATATATATTATTTATAAAAGCAATTAAAAAGCTTTCTAATTAAATAATATCTTAGTTTGATTGCATTTTTATTTTATAATTCAGAGCAGACTTTTGGTAAATAAATAACTGTTTAAAAAAAAAAAAAAAGAAGAAAAAAAAATTGATTTAAATTCTCCAAGGAGTCCTGCTTTTAACTAATGTATGAAGAGGGACAAAATTGAATTTCTGGAAATTTCATTAAGTAAGGCTGGGTAACAGATGTTAAAAAAAAAATATATATATAAGTGAACATTGAAGTCAGCATTTAGAGGTGACAGGCTGTTTCATGCTAGATGCAATCGTCAGGCCACGACGATTGTGTCTAACATGAAACAGCATGTCGCCTCTGCTGACTTCAATGTTCACTTTTATATTTACGCACGCCTATCTCTGATATTGAGCACTTTATCCCATAAATATAGCACCCTTAAGTATATATTTCTTTATTTATATATATATATATATATATATATATATATATATATATATATATGACAATGAATCATTGATACAAAAAGTAAATCAGTAAAGTTAATGATATAAAATGGCGAAATCCCTTCGCTAACAAAATTTTAAAGATGCATTAACCTACCAATCACTTGATGAATGTTATAATCCTTGTTTTTTAAAATTATAAACTGTATTAGGTCTTCCTTAAATATGCAAGTACTTTTCGACTATACATTCAATCATCTTGAGACATGGAAATTATTTTGTTAGTGAAGGGATTTCACCATTTTTATCATTAGCTTTACTAATTTACTTTTTGTATGAATGATTCATTGTAATTTCAATTGAATTGCACTACAAATTTAATTAAAATCCAACAATTATTTAATTTTTTTACAAGAATTTCCAAAACAATGTTTTTAGCACATAAATGATGCTAAATTTCCTATTTTTGTCCTGCCTGCTGATGCAAGAAAAACAAGATTTGTAACCAAAATTTCAAACATGCTAGAAAGGATTTAAGAAATTTTATAAATTAATCAAAAAATACTTTGGTTTCACCTCTTAATAATAATATAAATATTTTATCAAATTATTCTTTCGTCATGCTATGCTTTTTTTTTTTTTTTTTTTTCTTAGCGAAAAAGTGGAGATACCTACATAAAAATCATTATTTCTATAGGATTACCAAGAGATTAAAAATGGAAATTAATGTTATTTGTTTTAATAATGTTGGTGTAATGAAATGTCATTATAAATTTACAAGTTAAAAGCTGAAATGAAACAGTTATTCTGTTATTTGTTAACCTTTATCACTCTGCACTTGACTTCATTTGCTGTACAAAATGTTGATTCTGCTACTGAAGGTGACTGTGATCCTTGAATAATAATGTGTTTGAATTTCATTGTTGTGTTGCCATATCCTTCTATGGCAACAGAAAACAACTTTGAATGAACTTAACAATAGGGATATAGCAATTGAGAGGCTTTGAAAAAGAATGCAGTGGAAAGGGAAGTAATATTAATAATGTGATGTGCTAAATGTTAATAATATCTTAATGGGAACCATTTTTTTTATTTTCTTTTTGTATTTTTTGTTTTTTCAGATTTATAAAGCATTAAAAAATGATTCCAAGTGCTATAAATTAAAACTATTTAAAACTCGTAAGCTAGGTTAAGTTTTTTTTAAGTATCTTCATTTGCATTAATGAATCTTCCTGTTGAGAAGTTGTCAACTTCATCTAAGTTTCTTTCTGTTTCAAAACATCTGCATCGCATCCTTTATTAATATACTTCATTATGTATATGATGGTTTGAACAAAACAGCATATTTCTACATTAACATGTCCTTTAAAGGCTTTTAAAAGAACAATAAGGAACAATCTATTTTCAATTGTATAAGTTTGCCTATTTCTTTCAGTTCTCTGCCCCCCCATTTTCAGGTGATCCTTTTTTTTGTATCCTGTCACTTTAGTTTTAGTTTCATTAATGAAATATTTTTAATAACCTTTCTCACATTGTCCATTTTTCATACATGGTGCTTGTGGGTTCATTGTACCACAGTGACCCTGAACCATTTGTGTTGTGATAATCTCAGAAAATTCAGGGTCCAAATTAGGATCAGGTATTTCAGCACTAATGATTGTATCAATATCCTGAGGATATATCCTGTCCTCTAGCCAAAAGAGACTGTGTGTTTGTGGTAAGCCTCTCTTCTGCAATTCAATGATATAAGTGCTTTTGTTTTTCCAAAGATTCTATCTCTTCTTTGAGTTATTGCTTTGATTAATTTAGTCAGTTTAATTCTGAACTCTCACAATAACATCATGTTGATCTTTAGGTGTTTTTATAAACTTTTTTTTAATTTATTAAAATTTTTTAATTTTTTTTTTATTATTAAGATTCTTTGAAGAATTCTTACATTTTTTTTTATTCAGAATTTTTTTCATCTTTGTTAAATTTTATTTAACTACTTTTATGAGATTTTTTTTTTCTCTCATTATTTTCTTTGTTGAAAATTATAAGATTTTCAAGATTTTCACTATTGGCGTTGATGATTAAAAGACAAAAAGACAATTAAAATATGTTTTTTTTTAACTGTGAATGTGAACTGAAAGAGTTCGCACAGAGTAAATAAAAAACAAAGAAATAAAAAAAAAAGGTAATTCTCCAGTTTAGCTGCTTGAAGGGCAGGTATTCCATGTTTGATGTATCGGTTAATTATTTCTGCTGATTTTCATCTCTTATTTTCTTGATTTAAAAAATTGAACATAACGTTTTAGCTATTTTAAAAATCTTATTTTTATTCTTGGTTTATATAACCAAGATCTCAAACATTGTTACATAAATTTTATTTTTATTGTTGGTTTATTTAACCAAGAAATGTCACTCTAAAGTGAAGTAGCTTCAAGATGAAGGTCAGTTTCCTTTCATCATTGAATAAAATTAAAATATGTCCGTCTCTCATTTATTATCTCTCAGTTGCGTCTCTGTCTTTGGACAGAGTGCAATTCATTTGTGGCTCTGTTCGCAGACAGAGATGCATCTGAGGAAGATAAATGCTGTGGGGTGCCTGACCCTGAGGAACAGCAGCACACCCATCCCACTAGAGAGGGGGGATTGGTAGTCACTACAGAGGTCAGCACAACCAGCAGTTGCAGGGACTTGGACAATTTTTGTGCTTAGCCTGAGTATATACGCTCAGGTTCTCCTCATTAAGCCTGACCTTGTGTTGCATCCTGTCTCCTCACTGCAAATATCAAGACAGACATAAAAAGAAATTTATTTGTAAGATAAGATATATCTCTTGAAAGGTTTTTTATGTCATGGGTGTTTTTTTTTTTAATAGCCCTCCCCACTCACAAACACACCTTGAGTATGTGGTATTTTGGTATATGTTGGTTGAATGGAAATGAATGAATTCTTGTCTTATTTGAGTAAATTATAATGAATGGGTTGCAAATTAGATTAGTCAGTGATGACCAACCTCACTCCACTTCTCCTTGGGCCATAATTGTATTTTTTATGAAATAAATAAGATGTCTCTTGAAAGGTTTCATTTTAAGTTTGTATCTTGTTAAAAAAAATTTGTTAATGTTTCTTAAAATTTTTGACTACATTAGTTGTGTGACATATTCTTTTTTTCATTTTAGTTAGAAATAACTGACTTGTACTTTGGACATAAAAGATTGTTAAATATATCGGTGACAATTCTTAAAGAAAATTCCAACTTCAAAATTCTTAATAGTACTGGAAAGACAGAATCTAAGAATTTTATTTCCTTAGTTGCCAAACATATTTGCAGAGAAATAATAAATGAGGACTGCTTTGTGCTTGGCAAAAATTTCTAATCTAATTTATTTACACTTTGGATATATTTTTTAATTTGGCATGTATTTAAAATAATCATATTTTGAATTATTAATTTATATATCAGTGATTGGTCTTTATTTTTTAAATCCTCTTATATATTTCCCTTATCTCTTGTTCTTATGATGTGCAGTGAAATAATTTACATTAGCCTTATAAATTTTCAGCTTTAGTTGTGCACATCCCAATTATCATCTTTGATGTTTTTCAGGATTCTCCTAGAGAAGCGTTAGAAACGTTTAATAATCTTCTTTCCAAAAATATGAAAAGTCCACGTGCTACATATGGTCGCGCCGCAGCCCTGAGCGACATTGCCAAACTGGAATCCAGTAATCAAATTCTTGAACAAAGTATGCACGTTCTGGAAGTGCTCTTAAGTAACCCAGATACGCCAGATGCATTACTTTTAAAAGGAGGCTTAGACCTCGCTAAAAAGCAACACTTCAGAGGTAAGTGGACATTGCACTTACCATTTTTTTTTTCTTTCTTTTTTTTTTTTGTGTGGGCAAGAACTTATCCTTCTGTTTGACCCAAAGAAGGTGACAAAAAGGACAGTCTTGTTTGCTATATGCTTATTGTTTGCTTTTTGTCAATTAAAAAAAATGATGCATGGCGTTAGGTGATTCTTATAAATGTTGAGATCCCAAGGAGATTTGTGTTCAGTTTCATTACAAAGTTTAAACTTTTATTTTATTTTTTTTTTAATACCTTTTAATGAAGTACAAATTATAGTTTACTAGAAAGACCGGTGGAAATGTCACAGTTTTTCTATTTAAATTTTCTGATGAATCTTATTCACAAGTTAATGATTGAATAAGTTCATGAGCTGATGGCGAGTTTTACGACAATAAAATATCCGTAGAAATTTCTCTATCACGTCGTTAAATATTTGAGCTTAACAACTTTAACAAAATATTGCAATAACAATCATAAATATGAAGGCTGGTCGTTATTTTAAGAAGTGGGTAGAAATGAAAAAATTTAAAGTTGACAACATTTTCCATTTCATTGAAACAGCTGTTAGACAATTCTATCTTTCTTTATTTCTTTTTCTCACTGAAATCAAATGTTTTTTCCCCTCTTTCCATGTGATCAAAATGGAATAGTTCATTTTTATGAAGTATTGGCAGGAGATGTTAAACACTTTATGTTGTATTATTTCTTTCTTTCTAACCAAATCCCCATCTTACAAACATTTCTTTTAAAAAATAATTTAAAAAGATGATGATGCTATTTTATTTATGGTAACTGGGTTTTTGGTGACTGCCTTACTTTGTTTCTGTCATTCGTTACTATGTATGAAAAATGGTGCATTTATCATGGTTATCATTTATTCTCAGGATTGGGAGTAAGATCACAGTGTAGTATCTGTTCTTATCAGCTTAATCTGATTCTCTCTCTCTCCACTTCTATCTTCCATTTTCTCATTGAAACCAAGTAATTTTTCCCCCTTCTTTTTGCACAATCAAAATACAGAATAATTCATTGTTTCTTAGGTATTGATAGGACATAACAGTTGTGCTAACTAATGAAGAGTTGGTCAAGCACAATTATAATAGGATAAATTTCTAATCTGTCTATATTTCCGAGATGAAGTATTATGTACATTATTTACATTATTCAGACTATTGTCCTCATCTTTGTTGCTAAATTTATTACAATGTTTCAGCTGATGTACACTCCGGCCTTCTTCAGGTGGTTGGAATGTCGAACTGAACCCTTTATTTCGCTCACTGGGGTAGACTGTTCTAGTTCCATGTGCCATGTTTGATGGATGTCAGTTATCAGTTATCTCCTGTTAATTTTCCTCTGAAAATTCTCCACTGCCTTAACTGGGTATTGAACTCACACTCTTTGGGTCTTGTCATTGGATCTAACCAACGCCTTTATCCACTGTCCTTGAGGACACATGGCACAGTGGATAAAGATAAATTTCTAGTTTATATTGGTTTTTGTTATAGCTTATAAAGTTGAGAATGCAAACAATCATCGCATACATTATCAAGGGTGGGGTTATTCTTTTAGAATTGTCTTAAGAACAATAAATGGATGCTTTATCAAACTGAAATAGCCGCCTTCAAAATTATAAAAGACAGGCTTGTAATTTGTTTAAGGGAAGATGACAGGAGAAATTTTCCTGTTTTAATTTTAAAATTAGGAATCCAACTAATGTAAGTAATAATAAAAAAAAAAAGTTTCCTTCACTACAGAATTAGATGAAAATGATATGGATGAATGAAAAGCATTTCACTCTTCCTTTGATCATATTTATTAGATTCAGTTTCAGGCAAAATGAAGTTTTTTGTTGGGCTCCAGTTCATATCCAGTGAAAGCTTCTTAGAAAGGTTTGCTTTTATATAGAAGAATTTATAACATTTGAGAATAAGGTCATGTCTGTCAATGTGTTTACTTTTGTTGTATGTATGTATGTGTATATGTGTATATATATATATATATATATATATATATATATATATATATATATATATGTGTGATTGATGTAAATAAAAATTTGCCATTTTACTGATTGGTGTTACCTTCAGCATCTCAACTGCAGAGTTTCATAGACAGACCTGTCCATCAAATCTTCAGGGGCTATCAGCAATTTACTGCTTATATTTTTGCAATTTTTTTTCCTTTTATGCATATTTAACACTGTAAGTTTTCTTCTGCATTCTCTGTGTTTGTGTCTGCAGCCATGTACCAGTCTGCATGGGTGTGTGTATGTGTTGGGTGTTGTAATCATTTTGCCCTTTTCTTTGAGTTTTTTTTTTTTTTTTTTTTTAGCACTTTACACTTTTTCATTTAACCTTTTTTTTTTTTTCTTTTTCTTTTTTCCAACCATTGCTGATTTTGACTGGGTTTTTTTTTCCATCACTATGAGATGTAACTGATTTTTATTTTATGGGCATTTTTTTTTTTTTTTGCTAGAGAAATTGTATTTCATTTTTTTACAGAAATAATTGATATTAATGCTCAAATGATAAATATCTTTATACAAATATACATATCATACTAGTGATATTAATGCCTAAATGGTAAATACTTATATATATATATATATATGTATATATATATATACACACACACACACACACTTATACATGTCCACTGGGCTCTTATTTCATTTTTAATTCAGTTTCGTGGTATCATAAATATTAATTGTAGGAGGTTAGATTTATAATTAAATTTAATATTGTTAGAATTTAAGTGCATATGTTTGTGTTTATATTTATACGCACATATGTGCATCTATTAACACATGTATATAGGTATATGTATGTATACATATGTACACATAAACATCAGTGTGCATTGCTTTGTTTATGTTTGGAGATGAAACTGAGCAGATATGAAACTTATATTTTTATTTTTGGACAATTTTATTTTATATATATATATATGTGTGTGTGTGTGTGTGTGTAGACACTTATATATATATATATATATATATATATATATATATATATAATATATATAATGGACACTGAGGTCAACTGCAAGTGGTGACAGGCGCCTGAAGATGGGGTTTGGAGAAGAGGTTAATTCATTGGATGTTTAATAAATGTCCTGGTATCACAGAACCATTTTTTTTTTTTTTTAATGCCCCAATGCAAAATATAACACTTTTTGTTACTCCTATTTTCTCATTGTTTCTTCCTCTTTTTTTAGCTTGCCCTTTTTAACTTGCTATTATACCATCTATAATTCACTAAAAAATAAAGTTTAAAGCTATAAAAATCAGTCTGATTAATAAATAAATAAATATTACTTTAGAAATTGCTTTGTTTACGTTTAGATACAAAACTGAGTAGATATATAATTTTGAGAATCTATGGCCAGAAGGATTTTGTTTAAAGGCACTATTCAGCCATGCTTGATCAGCAGATGTCCTTCTTGGCTGAGTTGGTATATCCTGTTCGAGGGCACATGTTTTTCTTCAATAAGATTTCTCAAATATTCAAACTGGTAGATGAAGATAAATAGACTTTTTAATAAATAAAAAGAACGTCTACTCAAATATTAGTATCCACTAAAAATAATGTTTAAGTGATAAAATTTATTGGATTAATAAATAAAAAAGATCTATTACCTCATTAGAACTCGACACCAGCTTCATCAGAAAAGTCTGGTGAGGGAAAACATTTTAGTTGCTCATGACTCAACCATGCAGCATATACTGCGTTACATGCAGTGGTGGCATCTGTCAGTTTGCACACATGATTCTTAAAATTATAAAAGCTTAGCAAACCAGTTGTTGGATTATCTGAAAATAATCTTGTATATTAATAGCTGATGGTCAAGGTAAAATATTAGTTACACTATATTAGTGTACATGCCTAGTGAAAAAAAATGTAGCAAATCTTCTAGTAATAAATTTGATAGGTTTTCCATTGAATCTTTGGGAGCACAGTGATTCAGTTCAGATGTGGCTAAGAAACCCTAACACAGCTGATGACACTAGGGTCAAAGAGCTTCATACTTCTGGTCAGAAATATGATGAGAACAGAATTTCAGTTGGGAAATATCTTAATAAATAAATGTTTACTATTAAATTATGAAAATGATTTAATTCTGTTTGATACCATATTTGTTACCAGATTGAAAAGAAAATAAGCTGAACAGGTTTCTTAAGATTACCTGCCTTTATAGAACTGGTTTCTGGAAATTTTGGTTGTCACCCCCTGCCGATATGCTATCAGTAGTGCACATAGTGTGACCTGTCTCCACTTTAAAAAATTTCATGCACTGATTGTTATTGTTGTTTGATAAGTCACAATTCACCTAAGAGGTAAAATAATACCTTGTCATGGTCATACTGGATAATGAATTGGCAACCTTTATATATATATATATACATATATATATATATATATATATATATATATATATATATATATATATATATCAGTATATGCTCTTACATACATGAATTCAGAATGCCACAGATTATACTAATGTTGGTTTAAAAATCAAACAACGCAAAAGTTAAAATACCAGAACTATTTTTTCTCCATCTCTAATTCTCTGATAAAGCTTTAATAAAAGTGAAACATGTTAGATTGATAAACATTTCCTGTTTTTTATCTTATTGTCACATTCTGATTGATATTTGATCCCAACTCATGCATGTATTTGTGCATGCGTGCAGACATTGTTAATATGTTTATATATTGTAGAAAATATATCTTCAGAAAATATTAAGATTTTCTTTAAATTTCTTACATCTTGGCTTAATTTAAAAAAATGTACTGATTTTTCTTTTCTTCTTTTTCATTTTATCTTGACAGGGTGGACCAAACGAGCAGTTAAAACCTTGACATTCTTAAACTTGCGTTTTCCACATGACACTGTTGTGCAAAATGAACTTGGAGTTACGTACTTGCTGTTAGGCCGAAATGAAGACGCTAAAACAATTTTTCAAGATGTAAGCTCTTAATATTTTGATAAAAAAAACATTGCTCAATAGAAAACTGAACCTTACTCTTTTTTTTTTTTTTCTGTCAGATGCGTAAATGGTGTATTTTATATTTCCTCTACTCCTCCTCTTTAAGAGATTTAGAGATTTTTTTTATTTATTTTTTTTTTATTTTTTAAAGAAATGATTTTTGTCTGGAAAAAAATATTTTATACATCTTTTTAACATTGAAAAAATGTTGATAAACTAAATTTTAATAGAAATTAAATCTATAACCATTTGTCAAGAGTTGAATAAAAGGATTTTTAAAGTCTTAAGAATGAACCCCAACCTTCCTTTTGATTTCAATAATATGAGTTACTTTTTTGCAAGCTTTTTGAAAATTAGCAAGTGATATGTTCTTAAAAGAAATTCTGTGATATAAAAATGTCTTCTGATCTTATTCCAGATGACTATGCTAAAAAGGTAACCCTTTATTTTTATTATTATGATTATTATAATACATTCAGCATCAAATATTTTCTTTTTCCAGAGATTTTCTTAGAGGTTGGGAAGAATTGGTTTTTCTTTTTCCATTTAAATATAATTCCTTTTTTATTTATTCAATTTTATTAGACATTTTTGTTATCATGCAAGTACATAAAATAACAGTAAGCAAAGAAATTTGAGATATTCTTTAAATAATTCCAGGATTATTTATCTATATTTGGACATCTTTGAGGAGTAGATAACTTTCCTTAATATTTTTTTTTCAATTTTTTTTATTTTTATAATTAACATTACCTTCTACTTTTTACAACTGGTGCCATTTTTGGTATGTGTATTCATTCTCTTATGTTTTTTTTTTTTTTTTTTTTTTTTTTTTAATTTAAAAATACATTCTTTATTTGTAGAATAGGTAAATAAAAAAAATAAAATAAAAAATATATAATAAAGGCACACAGCACTGAATTTTTTCACATCTTTATAAAAAGGATAAAAAATAAAAACAAAAAAAACCTGCCATGTAAAATCTGATTCAGGCAATTGTTAATATTTAATAATTGAGCGAATCAAAAATAAATCAAATTTATCAAAATAAATTTTTTTTTTTTTTTTTTTTTAATTTTTATTTCCCAAAATAAATTTTTAATTCTGAATTATGAGATCATAAGTTTCAGATTCCTAAGTCAGAAATATTTTTTCAAAGCGGTTGATGAAATGTGCTCATTGTAGTAGAGTGGAATGCTAGGGGTCCAATTATGGAAAGTGGCAGGGTCCCTAGGAAGACAGTGGTTTTTCAAAAGAAGCAGGTGGGGTTTAACTCAAAGGAAAAGTGCTGACTAACCTAAAAAAAAAAAAAAAAAAAAAAACAATGTTTCCAACCTCTCTTTGGCGCTCAAAGATGTCCAGGATGTCTCACCATCATTTCTGAGGCACTCTACGGTCAATAAAAGGACAATTTTTATCAACATGACAGTGCAAATCTCACAGAAGCTAGCAAACATGACCGCCAAGAGAGGAGGAGTTGACCCCCATGAACTTGGAGATATCTTAATAAAGCCACATAAGATTATGTATTGCACCACAAGTTAAAACTGGCTGAGAACTTTCTGTTAAGACTACAAAATAACTGCCAAATTATTTAATACTTTCATTCTGTCAGAATGGACATCAGGACTACTGCAACTATTATTGATGGACAGTTGATTAACACCACCAAACTGATTTTGAATAACTGCTGACTAAAATAATACCATTCGGCAGCAGCCGTTTTCCATCTGTAAGTTTTGTGAATAAAGCTTTTTGGCACTTGTTGTTCTGGTATATGTTTTCTTGTCTCTGTTGCTTACAGCCAGAATTGGCTCAAAATTGGGTTTTACTTGTTTGTTTATTTATATAATCTTCCTCCTCACCTTCTGCCACACTTCATGTTGTGCGCTTATTCATTTATTTTTATAGCATTCATAAAAAAATTTTTCTAAAAAATAATGCATTAGGAAATCAATTGAACAAAATTGCCTGAAGATACTGAAAGGTTGAAACCAAGGTAACAGAATCAGCTGATCTCCTAATTTTATATATATATATATATATATATATATATATATATAAGAACAATATATGGAAAATTGTATGAAAAAGTGGAAAAAGTTTACTTCTGATGTGTTTCATCCTTCAGGACTTCATCAGACTAAATTTATTATGTTGGTAGAACTACACATGCACATGAATGAGGGGTGCTGGAGATTTTAGAGTTTATAATGTAAATATCTAGAGTGCCTTGATCACAAGGTCATCTACAGTAAATTTCTGTCCTGGCTCTTACAACATTTCACCATTCTTGGCAGATCTTTTATTATCACAGTGTGGGATACCTACTAACAAAGGTAAAGAAAAGAAAAAGACCCCAAATGAATTTGGCTAGATTAAAAAAAAAAATCAAAAATTCCCAGCACCCCTCTGCCATACAAATGTGTAATATAACAAATTTAGTCTGATGAAGGATGAAATGTGTCACAAGTACACTTTTCCACTTTGTTATAGAATTTCCTCAATATACATATACACACACACTGTTAAAAAGTTGGGATGTTTTATTTTCTGTGATTTTTTTTTTTTTTTTTTTTTTTTTTTTTTATTGGAGGTTTTTGCTGGTTTTAAGTTTTTATTTTTGTTTGTTTTTGCTGTGTGTGTGTGTTCTCTGTTACCACCCCCACCTTATTTTTTTTTTTTTTTTTTTTAATTATTCAAAGACTGAAACATTTTTATGCTACATTGCAATCTTAAATGAATATGTTCGTAGGCAATATCAAGGATTTGTTTGGGTTAATTGCATGTGTACATATTTATTTGACTTTGCTTTGTTCTGGTAAAACTAACTTTGGTTTTAATACTTTTCTTTTTGGAAAAATGAAATTAACTTTTAAAGAAAAAATATTTTGTAAAATCAAAATTTGAAAAAATCTGTAGTTGAAGTTTTGATCTGCTGGAAAATTGTTGAATGACATTAGCTTGCTTTTTACGTGTTACAGAAGTTTAATTAAAAAAATAATGTTTTGTTTATAGGTTCTAAAAAACCATCCTAGAAATGGCTTTGCTATGGTTCATTTGGGCTTCATCATCAAAACACATGATAATAATCCTGCCAAAGCTATTCCTTACCTGCGAGATGGTATTGCAACAGGTGAAAAGGGTGTCCTTGATGCAAGATTCTATTTCCATCTTGGGGATGCATATCAAAGAGTTGGACAGAATAAGCAGGTAAGAAATGCTTTTCCTTTTCTCTTTCTTTCTTTTCCAATTTTTCTCTTTTTTTTGATTTTTCTTTTTGTCTCCCTCTTTTTTTTTGTATTTTATTCTCTCGTGTGTTTGTTTGTTTGTCACGTGTGTTTGTTTGTTTGTCACGTGTGTTTGTTTGTTTGTCTCGTGTGTTTGTTTGTTTGTCTCTTTTTGCTTCTTTCTCTCTTAAAATAAATCTTGACATTTTAATTTGTAATTTCATTTTCAATTGTAAGTAGCTTTTGTATAACACATTTAATAAAGATCAAATAACTAATTTAAATATTTTTAATATATAAAAACAATCAAGTTAGATATTTTATCTTCTTTCCTTGCTTTATTATAGAAATGCATTTACTTTAGTTGTGTTGAGGCAAAAGGATGTAAAACAAATCCTGTCTAGCAATTTACATGTTTTCTTTTGTTCTGTACGAATGATTTGATATTACTTTTATTTGGCATCACTATTTATTATTATTAGCAGCATAAAAACAAAGTTTTGTATTTTCCAATTTGATTTTAGGCTAAAAGAGTTTATGAAGATGGTGCTGCCAGAAAACTCTTTCTCTCCTGGGATCAACGCTCTCTATACAATGTTGACAGACTCACTGCTAAACCTTGGTGGGATCCTGAAGAACTACCTTACAAAAAATCGCTAGAGGTGAGTTAGACTATGAGTTAAAAAAAAAATGTATATATTCGATTCTTATGCCCCAGTTTTCATGTAATCAGTTAAGCAATGCTATCCTGATCAGTGTTTATATGGGTCATCCTTCAGGAGTATCAAGTACTTCAAGTGTTTGGTAGCTTAGTCAGATAAAACAAAGGTTAATAAATAACTTAATATATTTGAACCTTCAAATAATATTTACTGTATTGGTGAGGTTGTGAATATTTTTTTTTAAATCTTATTTGTTTTCTCTTATTGTCATTTGGATATTTTGAAATATACTTTGTTTTATTTCAGTGTTAAAAAAAATTTGGTGAATAGTGATTTTTTTTTTTTTTTTTTTTTTTCTACCTGTATTTTGATCAATTAGTATTTTGGCAAACTTGGACCTTCGTACCCACAAAAATACGGAATGTTAAAAGGATGTTTTTTTTCATTGACACTGCTATGTTCACTCTTTGGCAATGTTTGTTTTAAAAGGTAATGATTAGAATTGTAATAAAACTTAAACATATGAAAGTGAATTTATACATTTTCTTTATTCTTGAAAATTGTCAACAAAAATAATAAACATTATTAAATTGTTTATTGGAATGGTTGGCAAAACATCAAATAATTGCCAATCAATTCAAACTTTTTATAAAAACTTTTTATTATAATGGCAAATAAGTATTTCCTTATACTTGGTTCCCATATTTTAATAATTTAGTAAATGTTTACAAATTTATGAATAAAAAAATTATTAATTTTATAAATTGATAAATATTGCATTAGTTTTTAGAATGTAAATAAATACTAATAAATAAATAGTGTTTAATATTTTTGTTGTAAATTCTCAAGAACCAAAAAAATATATAAATTCACTTTCATCGTATGTTTACGTTTTATTACAATTCTAATCATCACTTTTTAAAACAAACATTGCTGAAGAGTGAAGGTCTTTTTTTTCTACTGACACTGCTAATACCATACCTGAAGTTGTCTGTAGGAACAGACGAAAGCTTGTAAAAACTAAAAAAGAACTTATGCAACTGGAATTTATAAACAGGGATCATAACATTCGTATACAGGTTAGAGGTTAATGTACTTTATTAAAATTGTTTGCGAAGATGTATTCTCACCATTTAAATCATTAACTTCTATATCTGTTGTTTGTATGGATGATTCATGTAATCTAAATTGAACTGCACTTATATATATATATATATATATATATATATATATATAGGCAGCAACCTTTCTTTTAAGCATATTTCATTAAATACAGCAGACAAGGGAGATTTAATTCATTTTCTCTTTAGTTTTTCCAGCATCCTTACATTTTTTTTTCCGTTTTGCCATAACTTCATTGTCCCAAGTGCTTTCAGCCACTTCTTTAGTCATTTTAATGCTGTTATCGTAACAAAGGCACTGCCACCTGGCGTCGGTACTGTAAGAGACATAACCTTCCAGAAAAAATGGCTAGGCATTAGATAAAATCTCACCATATTTATGCCTATAGCTTAATTTAGGTATAAAATAGTTATATCATACCATTTGTTTTCATATAAAGGCAGGCTTTTGAAAATAGTTTTTTTTCTTTCATTTTTTTTTTTTTTTTTTTTTTTTTTTTTTATTGAAAAGTAATCTTATTCCTTCCTTTTAATATAAAAACAAATTAAAATGTGAAACAATAAATTTACCCAATTTGTATACTTCATGAATTTTTATAATTTCTGAAAGTCTTTTTTTTTTTTCTTCTAATTATTCTTAAATGATTTTTTTTTGCAGACATTGGAAAACAACTGGGAAACTATTCGAGATGAAGTTTTATCATTAATTTCCTCATCGAATGATGCTTTTGTTGATGAAATAGAAAAACTTCGAGAAAAAGGAGTCTGGAAACAATTAACACTTTATCAAAGAGGTAGCAAAAATATTTTAACTTTAATATTTTCTAAAGATGAAAATGCTGTTTTTTTTTCTTTTTTCCTTAAATATGTGTTTGGGTATATTTAATTAAAAAAAGTAATTTGCTAAGACGAAAGTGTATAGAAACTGCTTTAATCACTAGATCATCGACAGTAAATTTACATCCCTGTTTTTACAACATTTCACACCTTGCTTGGCTGATCTATTATCATAATGTGGGATAATTAATAAGTGATAAAAACATAAAGAAAAAGAAACTAAATGAAACTGGCTAGACTATCCAAATCAGTCTGTTATATGCCATGCATAATACATGCTTAGGCGATCATGCATCTTTCAATACATGACTGACAAGGCAGATTTTTTCCCCCCGCAGTAGGTTGCCATCTCTTTCTGCAGTAGACCAGTTGCCATCCAAGAATATAGGATCAGGTCTGTCCTGCTATTTACCCATAGCTGGGGGGAGAAGAGGATTCATACCTTTTCCAAGGGTATTAGCACATAAGTGAGTGTAATGGATTTGACTGGAATTCAAACTCGGCTCTCTGATTCCTCAATCTGAGCTGCTATCCATTACTCCACCATGCCTCCTATTTAAAAGAAAAAATAAATAAATAATAATAATTTAAAATTTCAGCATCCCCTCTCCTTCATACACATATGTAATCACATAAAATGTAAACATCATTTTAGTCCGATGACTTCCTCAGTGATGTAATGTGTCATATGAAAAAAAATTTTCCACTTTGTCATGGATTTTCCAAAATTTCCTTACAATGTAAATAAACACTGGATAAAAAAAAACAAAAAAACTGGACGTCTATCTCAAATTTATAACCACACCCTAAATATTTCGTCTATTTACATGTATTTGGAGGTGAACAAAACATTTTATTAAAGAAAATACAACTGGCAACTGCATGTGATTTTTTGTCAGGGCTTTAATCATGATAGTAAATTACTATGATTATACTTCATCCCATTCATAAAACGAATAGAAATTTACATGACAGTAGTCTCCCTTTATACGTGTGGCTGACTAGAAGAGTTCTTTTCCCCTTTTTTTTTTTTTAAATCTACCTGTATACATACATAATTATAATGAAATTACTCACGGTTAGATTAACAACAATAACTAATAATAGAACAGTTCTTTATTTGAGGGATAGAAGATTTATTCTTACTTGATTTATTTTCCTTTCCATATGAAGTGAAGAATTTTGATTTCTTCATTTAAAGAAAATACTTTCTGGTTTCTCTTTGTTATATCTGAATTGGTAACATTATTAAGTTAAAATTATTTTTCATCTGTGATTGATAGTAGGGAATTAAAATCACAAGACAATACTGGGTTTAGTGGGGACATTTTTTTTTTTTTTTTTTTTACTTTAATGAAATGCATAAGGAAAGCCTTGATGAATACAATTAATGTGTTAAAAGATGTTCCACATTAAGTAAAGGTTATTAAAACTCATACAAAATATAATTAATCTAAAATTAGAAATTTTAAGATGTTGATATTTTAAACAATTCTTTAATTCATAAGCACAAAAGATAAAATTTTAGAAAAAGTTTCAGGAATGTAAGTTTATTAAAAAAAAAAACAAAACGCTGAATATATTTTGCTTATCTTTTATTGTGTTAGAAGGGGCTTTAAAATTTGCCTGATTCTGTTGTTAAAAGTGCTCACTTAACCACTAGATATGCTAGTTAAAAAAAAATCAGTTTTGGAAAAAAAAATACAATATAAAATTTGTCTTACAAGCATTTGTCTTACAATATTTTAGAATTAGTGTTGAATGTTTATGATAATGAAATTTGGGGGCATAATATTTAATTATTTTTCCTTTGTTAAAAACTTTGTTAATTGAAAACTCATTAACTGGAACCAAATTAATTTGCTCTTTCTGTAAAATTTCATTATCCAAATTTTTAGAGTAGAAATTTAAAAATAGCTTATCCTACAATTTAAGTAAAACTCAATACCAATAAATTTAAAATATATGAAAGATGGGCAGATATAGTGGACCTTCATGCCTGCAAAATATGTGTGAAAAGGATGTTTTTTTTTTTTCCTTGACACTGCTATTATTTTAACTACCATCTATCCCTGGCAATATTTATTGTTTTAAAAAGCAATGATTAGAATTTTAATAAAACCTAAACATTTGAAAGGGAGAGGATTTATACTTTTTTTTTTTTTTTTTTTTTGGTTCTTGAGAATTTACAGCAAAAATATTAAACACTATTTATTTATTTATTTATTAGATTATTCTTCTAAGTAAACAATCTAATTAATAAATAGTGTTTATTATTTTTGTTGTAAATTCTCAAGAACAAAAAATATATAAATTCATTTTCATCATAAAATTGTGTCAAGAGACACTGTTTCTTTGTAGGCATGAACATCCAAGTTTGCCAAAAGATGATCTGATGATAGACATTGATCATATTTAACAAAAATATTTCCACTACTTGTCATCTTTTTATCTTGTCACTATCTTTATAAATCTTAAAATTTAGGGAATTCTATTCACTTTAATGACATTTTTAGGTGTTTTTGTTCTGATTCATTTTTTTTTATTTTTTTGCAATACATCATGGGAATTGAAATATTTGTATTTTTTATTTTTTTTTGTAATATTGATTGTAAAAATGGGATGGTTATAATTTTTTAAATTTTATTTCACAGGTATTAAAGCAAGAAATGGTTGTGAATATACTCCCAGAACCTGTGCCATTCTTCAAAGATTACCTGACACAATCAATTGCAAACGAGGACAGGTGAATAAATTCATTTTTAATAATATCCCTTTTGAACCAACTCTGCCTAGTTATTAAACTATATCTCAATCACAACACAGAATAATTTTATGTAACTTTCAAGTGGCTCTTTTCTTGAAGACATAAGTTTACCTTATCAAGAAAATTGAATGTGAATCTTTTAATTCCAAGTCCCTTATCTGATACAAGTGTTGTTTAGATGTTTCGAAATATTTTCTCTAATTTCACAAGTTACTTTAACAAAAGTGATCTTGATTACATTTTAGACAGGTTTGGTCCTGTCGTCACTTTGCTGATGGCAAGATAACTGCATTTCAAATCTAAATTTCTTATCCATTTAAAAATAGAACAATTCTTAGAAAATGTATACAGTTTAAATACAGCAAGTATTTTTTTAAATTTAATTATTGATTTTTCTTTTTAAAAAGGTTAAATTTTCCCTAATGCAACCAGGTACCCATGTATGGCCTCACTGTGGCCCAACTAATTGCCGAATAAGAGCTCACCTAGGTTTGGTTGTACCTTCAGGTGCTAGGATAAAGGTTGGAAACCATACCAGGTAATAAGTCATTGATGTTTTTTTTTTAAGTTTTATTTTATTTCTTGTTGTTAATCTTCATTTTATATTTTTATTCTCTTCAAAAATTTAATAGGCTCCATTGTTTCAGTTTTCTTTTTTTTTCTTATTTATGTTTAAACAGGGATTAAATAATGTCCCATAATAGTTGATACATTTTCTGCATGAAATGTGTATACAAATGGATGAACTATTATGGGACAGAAATAATATTTGAGAATTCTTCAAATTCCATTGCAACTGATTTTGTCAGTCCATTTATATTGTTTTTTACTTGCTTTTAGCATCAAAAAATGACAGCTGTTGCGATTTCTACCTGATCAAGGATTTTTATCTTAAGTCTTATCGCGATATTTATCTTTGTTGTTGTGTGTAACTAAGATTTATACTTGTTAATTTTACTATTTAATAAAATAAGAACAAAACAGCAACTCAAACACATCTACCCACTGAAAACAATGTTTATCATAATAAAAAATAACATTTATTAAAATCCTTTAAATAATTACTGTTGTTTATGTTTCAGTCATGAAACTGTAGCTAGCAGATATCGATTCGTAGAAATCCCAAGACAAAAAAATTGTACTTTCATTAATAGGTTTATTCTAACCTTGCCTTGTCAGGCTGGCTCCATGACTGAACTCATAGAAGCATACTTTGACTTAAAAAGTGGTTTCCAAATGGAGAAGTGGGGGTGCAGGTTCAATTCCTGTCAGAGGCGCAATTTTTCTTTTATTGGACTTCTTAATTGAGGCTGATTGTTATTGATTTCACTGTTTTGTATTTGCATTATATTTTCTGCATGAGTAACTTTAGATTTTTATCTCTAGAGTTATCTCCCTTGTTAAATGTAAGAAAGAATCTTAGTTTTTAGATCATTAAAAGAAAAAAAAATATCCAAAGACATTTAACGTTACTTGCAGCATAAAAAAAAAATCATGTCAGTAATGAAGTAATTTTTTATTTGCATTGGTTATAGTTTCTGAAGGAGTAATATATGATTTTTTTATCTCTACAATTAATTCTACTATCAGATGTAAGAAAGAATTTTGCTTTTTCAATCATTCAAAGTAAAAATGTTCAAAGAAAACTAACAAAAGAAATAATGAGCAGTGTATTAGCAACCTGATCCCCCTTACTTAGTAATTGATTATTCTCTTACTGAAACATATGGCATGTTTATAATGCTTCATGTAGCCACAACAATGGAATATCTCATTAGTAACTAAGGAAAACGTGGTTGTATGACAAATATATGAAATCACATTGCATTTTATATTATAGACGTTTTAGACCTTGAAATAATTTTATATAAGTGACACATGCATTTGTTCTTTTTCAGTTGCTCACCATACATCTTTTTTCCAAAATTGTTCTTGTTATATAAAAATTTATATATCATTATCCCATTATTTTATATATATATATATATATATATATAGTATTTAGGCAGCAGTCATACTTTTATACACATTTCGTTAAAGATGACTAACATGGTATTGTGATTAAACTTTTTTAATTTTTCTTTTGTTTGTACTTAGGACACAGTGTGCAAAAAAAAAAAAAAAAAAACTCTTCAAAAGTTCTGCATATCTGAGCAATATTCTTTTTGCCATTATCAAGGGTGATTTTATTGATTTATTTTTTATTTTAACTAAATATGTGGGTTTTTATGTACGTATCAGAAGTTATAAGAATCTTTTATTTTCCAAACACTGATCAAACCAAACTCCTAAATAATTACATTGGTCACACTACTACATGCCTATCTAGATGACTTATGTTACACCAACCCAACCATAGCTCCATTAGGCCAAGTCATTTAAATACACACAAAAATCTAGCAGGCTCTATCTGAAACATACTAGTAGAAAATACAAGCATATGTAAAAAAAAAAAAATTAAAAATAATGGGAAAATCAACAGTCAATAACATTAACTATATCCTGACCGTGTGTGGAAAATAAACCATAAGGCACATACATAAAAACCCACATTTAGTTTAAAATTAAAAGAAAAAGTAAATCACCTTTGATAATGGCTAAAAGAATAGCTGAAAGTAGAAAATGCAGAACTTTTGGACAGTTTTTACACACTTTGTGTCCAAAAAAGAAAACACTTGTACAAACACAAGAAAAAATTAAATAAAAAGCTTAAACACAGTACCTTGTTAATAGTCTTTAATGAAAAACATATATATATCTATGGGGGGGTGGAAAAGTTTTTTTCTGACACATTTCGTCATTTAGGATTTCATTGGACTGAATTTGTTAGGTTGGTGCGACAACACATGCACACAAATGGAAGATGCTGGGATTTAAAATATTTTTTTTTTTTTTAATCTAACCATTTTCATTTAGATTTCTTTTTCCTTTCATCCCTTTTGTTAATAGATAATCCGTCACTGTGATAATGGAAGTTTTACCAGAAATGTTGTAAATGCCTGGGTGCAAATTTAACAGATGACCTTTATGATCAAGACACTCTCTAGACATTTTTGTTGCAGAAAATTGTTTTCTCCTTTGATCAGAATAGAATTTATATCAAAATCAAAAGTGTAGTTGGTCTTCTTACAATTTTTCCACTTTGTCATACATTTTTCCACAATATTTTGATATATAAAAAGATATATCATTATCTCATGCACACACACACACATATATATATATATATATATATATATATGTGTGTGTGTGACTTTTTATGCCTGTCAACATTATTCTCTCAAGCAAGGAATTTATAGATGATATGAATTGAGCTATACCCAAATGCAAATTATGACTTTAAGTGTCCTGTGTATTTTTATTAATAACCATATGAATATAATTTATACTATATTACAAATAGTACAGCAAGGTGATCTGATATTGTTTAGAACAAAATGCCTCACCTTTTGTGGACCTCAGCACAAATTTTTCTTTATACTTTTATATATTTTCTCTAAAAAAAATAATTCGCTATGGCCGTAACTGTTTTATAAATATTTGCCAATATCAGGTTTTAATAAAATTTTTGTTGATACTATTTTTATGATTACCTCTCTTCGCTTATATTAATAGAAATTTGACAAATAGAGTGAAAATGAGGAAAGTCTTGATAATGTTTATTAAGTATTAGTGTAATGGAAACAAAATGCAGATGGAGCTACCTACCACTACTGGTAACAGTATCTGTCAAAGAAATGACGTTTAGTGTGCTGTCTTTGCAGAATGAAAACAAATTGGCCTTGCCAGAATAAAACCAGTGTGAACCCCAAGATGTCTGGTTATGGAAAAAGTGTCTACTAGCTTCCCATAAAATAGTCTGGATGGTGAACTGAGTGGTATTAACAAAAGGAATCATTTGCATAGCTATGTTAACCAACTGCTAAAGTTTTAGGCTCCATAAAAGCAGACACATTTTCTGGGAAGAGGCAGTCTGGCATGCCATGTTGACTGTATAACATGATTGCCATGCGTTACCAAGGATTTCCTTCTGTGTTACTTGGCATCATTTGAAATTCATTTGTCCTTGTTTGCGTTTCCAGTGTTTCAGCTGCATTTGTTTTGTACATGTGATATTCCTGTGTAGAAGTCTTGTTAGTGCCCTGCTTGTTATGATCTGGTGTTCAGCTCTTTTAGCGTTTGATTCCAGTACTGCTGATTTTCCTATCCCTCTTCGGATACCCAACCAATAAGAAAATTCATCAGTTAGGGATTTGTTTTTCTTCCACTGGAAAACATTCCATTGTTCTGTTTTGTTATTTTTTTTACCTTCATGTCAAATCGTGACCATGAAATATAACAATAAGAAGAAAATATGTATCCTGGTTTTTGATTGATACTTACAATGACATCACTCTTCAGATATTGAGGTGATAAAAATTAAGACAAGATCTCTACATTTGCAGGCATCTCTATGAAATGACAAAAATCTTTGTACTTGTGTTAAAAAAATTATTTAATGTGCTCATCAAAAGTTATAATTTCCCTCTTAAAAATTACAACATAATTTTAAAAATGGCCAAAATGGGTGGACATTAAAAATATAAAAATTATCTTATTGTGAATGAAATGACTGCTATTAATAAAGAAGAAAAAAAAAAATCAATTTTTTTTTCAAATTTGTTTAATTATTAAAATTAATACAGAAATTATTTCCTGATAGGAAATTGAAGAAATTACAAAAAAAATCTTCCATTTATGTAACTTTATTCATTCAAAAAATGCTAATTTTTCCAATATTAAAATAAGATTCATATTTTTTATGTAAATTGTACACTGAAAGAAATTGTTCTGTGTTTGTCAAAATGACTATGAATCAAATATAATTAATATATAAACAAAAATTCTGCTTAGCTACAATTTTCTTTCTACATACAACATGTGAAAGCACATAAGATACCCTGCCCTCATCAGCAGGGGAGATAAGTTTTGGTGGCTAAGGTAGTACTGGTACCAGCAGCTTTTGCCACCAGACAGGGTATTGTTTTTTGTGTAGACATGTCAGTCTCTTCTATTTTTATGCAACTGCAAGTCAGATTCTCAACATGTTAAAAGCATTTACATATGATCGTTAAACAAAAGACAACATGCTTGTAGTGACCATTATCAATGATGTAGAATGGAACATAAATGTGTTTCATGTCAGAAGTAGCATTGTGTTGTGCGCATGGTTTTTAATTAACTTTGTTTATTTTGGATCTTGACCAGAACTAATTTGATACCTGTTGAGCTGTGGTCTGGAGACACTGTGAAGCACTCATCAGGCACTGTACAATGATGCTCACCTTCAAAAGGAATTTTACAAAATTTATAAAATTATATTTTACAAAGTGATGCTGAAAAGCTATCAGCCTGACCAAGAAGGGAATCCAAAATAAATTTTGATGTTTGCTGAGATTTTTGGAAATGGCTCTGTCAGATTTTATATTATATATATATATATATATATATATATATATAATGGTGCTAAGGTATCCTAAGTGGTGTGAAATTTATATTACTTATTAAATATTTTTAATTTTTTTAGATAGTGTTGTCTTGAATGGTGCCTTAAGTAAGATTCTTATCAGTATTGTAGCTAAACTCTCTTGTTAGCAATTTTCTTCACTTCAGTTTTGGGAATAATTATGAAAGGTAATAGGGGGATAACTTGCTCTGCCAATCTTAATAATGTTGTATATCATGCATAGAAGGTTAATGTTTAAATAAAAAGCAAAAGAAATGTTTGCTAATGTTCTTATTTTTCTGTTTTTCTTTTTCAGAGAATGGAAAGAAGGAAAGTTCATTATATTTGATGATTCATTTGAGCATGAAGTGTGGCATCAAGGGAATACATCCAGAGTTGTTCTTATCGTGGATTTATGGCATCCAGAACTGACAGCTGCAGAAAAAGCTACTTTGCCACCAATTTAACTTCGTCCCACTCTTTTAGTGGCCAATGGGCTTTTAAAGAACTTTAACCAATTTTTCAATGACTTTATTTTTTTTTTTCTTTTTGGATATTGTTGATAATGAGCAATATTTCTGCCACTGAATATGACAATGATGCCACTCGGTTCCTCTTCCCTTTTCTTACAAGTTGGGCAGGGAGGTGGGGGAATTCTTCAGTTTTTATTCTTTTATTTTTTTATTTTTTTTTTTTTTCATTATTCGTTTCCAATTTCACATTTCTTTCAAATACATTTTTTTTTAATTTATTAATCCCACCTAATTTTTTTTTAGAATTCTTAGATTTTATTTCAAACTGAGTTTTTCTTTAAACAAAAATCACATTTGTTAATAGTAAAAAAACAAAAAAACAAATCAAAATACATGTTATTTTGGTGGGTACTAATAAAATTCTTTTCTTTTTTTTTTCTTTCTTTCCATGACATCAATTTTTGGTTTTGTATCCTATATATATATATATATATATATATGTTAAGATATATAATGTCATTCTTAATTAATCTGATATGTTATTTGTTAACATTTTTTTTTTTTTTTTAACATTTAAATTACATGTTTCATGCTTGTCATCATTAAAACATTTTTGTTTAACTTTTTCTTATTTTTGATATAAAATAAAATCTTGCTTACTTATTTGGGTTTGCTAAATATTTTTGGTACAGTTTGGGACCAACAGGGGTCAATTTTGGTCTTTATTATTGATCTTTTTTCATTTAGTAATTTTTTTTTTTTTTTTTTCCTTGTCTAACTGCTGTCTTTGCTGGGTTTGGATTTTTTTTTTTTTTGCAGATTTCTCAGTAATTCCTTCCAGACTTCAGATGGCAAGTTAAACCATTAAACTTTCTTAACTCTTATCCTGTTTTGTTTCCTCTTCATCATCTCTAACGTTCTTATTTTCTTCCATTTTTTTTGTCTTTGCTTTTTCTAATTGGCTTATATTTTTTTTTTCTTTATCTTGTCATTATGAAACCAAAATATTCTCAACTAAAGAAATGCTTTTTCTTTTTTGAAAAATTGCTTTCCTTACTTGACTATCATCCTTCCAATACTAACACCAATATTTTAGGTTTTCATTTTCTGTTTCCCCTTGACAAAAGTTTTTGACTTAAAAAAAAAAAAAAAAAAAAAGGTTTTTTTTTTTTTGTTTGAAATATCAAATGAATATTCACCAAAATCATGCAAAAATCTCCAATAAGAATCATCATGACGGTAATATTAACAGAATATTTTTTTGTTTTCTTTTTTACTTATTGTACTTCTTGAACCAAAGAAATCATTCAAGGGGGTGGGGCTCAAATAAATTCTATAGAAAGTTATTAAAATTTTAACTTTGTTATTGATTTCTATTCATTGATGTGTATTTAACCTTTATCACTCTGTGACTTCATTTGCTGTATAAAATGTTTATCCTGTCACAGAAGGTGACTCTGATCCTTGAATAATGGTGTCTTTGAACTTCATAGTTGTGCCGTCATATCCTGCTATGGCAACTGGAAACAACTTTGAGTGAAATTAACAATAAGGATACACCAATTGAGAGACCTTGAAAAAGAATGCAGTGGAAAGAAAAGTAATATTAATAATGCAAAGTGTTAAAGGTTAAATACAGTGATATGATTCAAATTGAATTACCAAGTTGTTATAAATTTCTGTGTAAATATTTTACTGGTGCAATGAAAACTTGTTAAACCATTAATTTGATGTTCAAACTTCACTGTTAAATGCAACACTTCAGAAAATGTCTCATTATTGAGACTATGAATTCTTCTTGGTTTATTATAAAACACTCGTGCTACCATGAAGCTAAATTCTGATTTACTTTCAAATGTACCACTTGTAGAAATGTATCTACTTTTGTAAGTAATATTCATTGTTTTTCTAAAATATAACTCCCTACCGCAAATGAAATTTATTGGAATCCTTACATTTAATAAATGGACTGGGTATAAAAATGGTAAATGTTCTGTTAAGAAATTTCTTACAGACTTAAGGTATTATTCTTTTACACTTACCTCTGAGATTTTTATATATATATATATATATATATATATATATATAATAGTAATATTAGCGATCTTCTTATAAGGAAACATTCATTGACTGAACAGCCAGTGTTACTCACGTTATGCTTTCCTTCACACTTTGGTCAATGGGCTGAGATCACAGTGTAATATCTTTTTCAACTAATATTAGTTGTTTCCTTATATGAAAGCATTTGGCATTCATTGACTGAGCAGGTTTCAAATGAAATTTATAACATCTTTCTCTTAAAACAATCCTTCAGGAAAATAGATTCATGAAAGTACACTGTTATCGCTCTTTTCCAGTATTGATGGAATTTCCTTCCTGTCTTTTTGTTTGAAGTAGTGTGGAACATCAGGATCTTTATGATGTCATTATTTTCTCTTCAATTTACATGTGCTATCCATTTTAGGTGTTTCTGTTATTTGGTACACTTCTTTGTCTATGATTCTTTAGTGCCAGTCTACAAGATTCAAAGAAGGATGGTCCACACTAAGACCTACAGTTTTCATTTGCTCAAAGCCATTTTTAATTATTGATCTGAGAAAGCATTTGGCAGTTTAGATATTTCTGAACAGGTTTAGCACCATGCATGACATGGATATGAAAGTTTTGATCTGATGAGGCTATTTAACCATTATCACTCTGTATGTGACGTCATTTGCTGTACAAAAAGTTTATCCTGCTACTGAAATTGACTCTGATCCCAGAATAATATTGTATTTGAATTTCATGGTTGTGTTTTATATCCTGATATGACAACATAAAACAACATAAGTTTGAATTAACAATAAGGATATCGCAATTGAGAGGCCTTGAATTCAGTGGAAAGGAAAGTAATATTAATAATGCAGAGTGCTAAAGGTTAAGAATATTACTTGTTTTTTAAAATGTTTAAATTTCTGCAGATACTCGTGTTTAAAATTAACATTGTCTACTTAAAACAAGTCACATGGTTTTGATAAGAGTTAATTTCTATTTTTTCATTTAGTAATATCAGTTTTGATTTACAATTGCAATAACTAACTTTTGCTGTGTATTTATTTTAATTTCAGTTGCAGATAAAAAGCATTTGAAATTAAGATTAAAAAAAGCTAGTTCAAAAAATTAATAATTGACAATGCTTCATTTAAATGGTTTAAAATTAGTTTTATTCTTGATTAACTTTTAGTAAACTTATTTTCAAATTAGCATTTATAAAGATATTTCTATACAATGAATTCACTTTTGGTAGAAAAAATGTTTGACATTTCTGTTTTACACTGACTCGGGGTGGTAGCACCTCTTAGGGTCCCAGCTATGGGCATATAGTTAAACCCCAAACAAAAAGAAATGCTATGAAAATTTAAAAATATATTTTTATAGTGAAAATACCAGTAATGAATTTTTTGTAGTAAAATCACCAACAGTACATATTTAAAGCAAAATGACCAGCAATACTTTTTATAGTAGAATTACCAACAATAAATTTTATAGCAAAATGACCAAAAATACATTTTATCTGTAGTTGAAGGCAAACAATTGCAGTCAAAATATATTTAGAAGGTTCAAGCCATAAGATTGTGTTCAAAATATTTAGATTTCAGCATTAACCCATAAAGGTTGATAAGCTGCTTAACAAATCCGACTAACGATCTGTTTTATAGATGATGCATATGATTGCTGTTTTTGACAAATGGAAGATTTTTTTCTCTCTAAGAATGAGTTTTGGGGTCTGACTGAATTGAAAATTCTTTAATAAATCTGTCTTTTTATATTTTCCTATCCAAAAAAACTTAGAAATTTTCTCAACATTGACTATATAAATAAGTTTTATGTAATATCACGATTTCAGCATCTGCTGGAATTGTTTCATAGAATTTTAAATTTTAATTAAAAAGAAAAAAGCCTATCATTTTTCTTTTAAATCATTTCACCCCAAGCAATGCAATAACATCAGGAGGAGTTACTAAGAAAGAAAGACAGTACAGTGAACAAAATGTTACTGTGGAAAAGGACAATAAAAGGAACAATATTTGACGAGACAGAAGATCAAAATGACAGAATTGGGGTTTAAAGTGTTAAGAATTAAATATATTGTACCAAATGTGATTTCTTACGCATCCTTAGGAGATGAATAAATAGGTTCTTTTTCCTTTTAAGTCAATTTAATGACCAGGATTTTTCTGGAATCCTGTCTCTAGTTTGCCTTTAAATTGGCAAAAATAAAATTTTGTTAGTGATTTTTTTTTTTTTTTTTTTTTTTTTTTTTTAAAGTGACAACCCAAATGCTGTCTGGGTGGTCCCCCCCCCTTTCTGATTGGTGGAACACAAGTAGATAGAAAGGGGTGGTGGATTCCCCAGCCAGAATCCAGATAGAGTGGTCAGTGAAATAACCAGCAGTCAGTCAGTAAAATGGCCAGCAATCACTGAGATGGTCAGGTAGCGAGTGTGTAGGGATCCTTTTTCTGTGGATGGAAGTTAATGAGATACCAGAAGTTTGCTTTCTTGAAGCAAAAGAAAGACATTGAAAAGTGAAAAAAAAAAGAAGTGAGAAATTGTTTTTGTTTTTTTTGTTTTTTTTTTTGTTTTGTTTTTGTTTTGTTTTGTTTTTTTTTTGTTTTGTTTTTTTTTTTTTTTTTTTTTTTTTTTTTGCTACTTCCCAATCAGTATCTTGAAAAATATTTCTTGTTCTTTGTTGGTGTCAATCACAGTTCTGAATACTGAAACAACCTGTAGAACATATTGAGAGCCTGATGTATTCACATAACAGCCGACCTTGGATGACACCACAGCTTGTGCAGAATCACATCATCACATATATATATATATATATATATATATATATAAAATTTTCACTTTTAGTTACTATAAAACTTTTTATTTTTACTATTTCAAAACACTTCTGATAAATTATCATTTTATAACACGATTTCTGGTTGATCAATTTGTCGATTTTTCAG